TCAGATGCGTGAACATCTACAAAGAAAAAATATGTTTGAAGAGTTTCAGTCAGGGTTTAGAGCTCATAGCACAGAAACAGCACTAGTAAAAGTCACTAATGATATTCTCATGGCCTCAGACAATGGACTTGTGTCTATACTGGTCCTGTTAGACCTCAGTGCTGCATTTGATACAAATGATCACAATATTTTACTACAGAAGCTTGAATATGATATTGGGATTACAGAAATAGTTCTAAAACTGTTTAAATTACATCTATTTGATATATTGATATATCAAATATCAATATACTTGATTGATATATAGAGATCATTATCTATAGTTTTCTACATCACTTTACAACCTAGCTGGTTTTGTTTCGTTTTTTTAAATACCATTTTATTTCACTTGTTCTTCATAAATTGCATGCTTTCTTTTTTGATTGTCTACTTTTATCTTTGTTGTCTACTATTGTCATAACTCTTTGTTAAAATCAGGTCTCTCTTGTAAATGAGTCCCTGAGGCTCAAAGGGACTTACCTGAATTTAGTCCCAATTTAGGTTTATAAATTTGGGGAGTTAGGTTGAATTTAAATAGTATCACTGTTAAATGGGCAGCTGTGGTTGAGTGATTAGAGCAGTCATCCTTCAATGTGAAAGTTGGGGGTTCGATTCCACCAGCAGTCACATGCCAAAGTGTCCCTGGGCAAGACATTGAACCCCTCATTGCCTCCGATGTGTGTCCCATCAGTTTATGAATGTGATACAGCACTGATTAGTCTTTTTACAGATATAGTAGAGTGTTGTATGAATGGGTAAATAAGGTCACAGATTGTAATGTAAAGCACTTTGAGTCTAAGATAGAACGACGCTAAAAAGTACAGTCCTTTTAAAATGTACCAATTAATCAGATTAACCTACTTATCACTGATTTTATCTCCAATCAAACATGAATGTGCAATCTCTTTAGAACAATGTTCATCATGTTGAGATTTGCAGAAATTAAGCTGATTAATAAAAACATTTCTAAAATCACCACAAAATAAAAACTAATATTTTAATTTTATTTGATTGTCTCTATTTGTCTCTATTTGTCACAAGTCTAAAAAGTGCACAATTTTGAGAAAAAAAATATAAACATAAAATGTTCACTTGTGTATACACACACACACACAATCACTTGAGTTCCAGTAATATAATATGAAGGGGCAGTGGCTGTACGCTGAGTCTCGGCCAGATTTCAGAACTCTCCCATATTTCAGAACTTCTCATCTTATCTCTAGTGAAGAGTTCATCTAACCTTTGGAGAAAACTCATTTCGAACACCTGTATCCGTGAACTTGTTCTGTTAGTCCCTGCCCAAAGTTTGCAACCATAGATGAGGGTAGCAACATAGACCAACTGTTAATCAGAGGGCTTCACCTTATGGTTTAGCTCTCTCTTCACCACAATGGACTGGCACAGAGTCTGTAATATTGCTGAAGCTGCACCAATCCATCTGTCGATCTCACGCTCCATCATTCCCACACTTTTGAACAAAACCAGTAGATACTTGAACTCCTCCACTTGAATCAGCACTTCTCCCCCAACCCAGAGAGGGAAATCCACCCCTTTCCATCTGATGACTATGAGCTCATATTTGGAGGTTTTTCCTCATACCAACCACTTCATACTAGGCTGTGAACATCTGCAGTGAGAGCTGAAGATCCTGGCACAATGAAACCAACAGGACCATATCATCTGCAAATAGCAGAGATGAAATCCTGAGGCCACCAAACTAGAGTCCCTCCACCCCTTGGGTGTGCTGAGAAATTCTATCCATAAACATATGAACAGAATCAGTGACAACGGGCAGTCCTGGCAAAGTTCAACTCTCTTCCTTAATGGACCAGACTCACTGCCGGCAATGCGAACAAAGCTCTTGCACCTTGCCATTTGCCTGTGGGTGTAAGATTCTGTAGTTTTATTAGTGTTTACAATTTGAGATGCTTGTGTTTTAGTTCCGGCAGCACGGTGGCGCAACTGGTAGAGCTGCTGCCTCTCAGCGAGCAGGTCCCTGGTTCAAACCCCGGTCCAGGGGCCTTTCTGGGTGGAGTTTGCATGTTCTCTCCATGCATGTGTGGGTTTTCTCCGGGTACTACGGTTTCCTCCCACAGACCAAAAACTTTCATGCTAGGCTGATTGGTAACTCTAAATTGTCCCTAGGTGTGAGTGAGAGAGTGAATGGTTGTTTGTCTCTATGTGGCCCTGTGATGGACTTGCGACCCATCCAGGGTGTACCCCGCCCCTCGCACAGTGATTGCTGGACATGGGCACCGGCGACCCCCGTGACTCAAAATGGAATAAGCGGGTAAAGAAAATGGATGGATGGATGTTGTTTTAGTTCTGCTTCATTTTGGCATATTTTCAGCCTATTGGTGTGCTTTCTTCCATGTAGTCAGCTCCAGCTCAAGATTCTGCCACTCGCACCTGTGTTTTTTTCCCCAGGTGTTCCTCATTGTCTCTCGTTAGTGTCCCTTTAACTTCAGCATCTTTGTGTGCCCTCATTATCTGGGGATTGTGTGTCTCTCAGCCATTCGTGTTCTGTTCCTCCGTGTTTTTTCCTACCATGGATGTTAGCAATGTTTTGCTGCCGCGGCAGCCTTTATTTTATTTTTATAAATTAGACAATTTTATTTTGCCATTACTTGGAAACTGATTCAGTGGCACAAGTGCTAAAATTACCTATGCATTCAATATATCTGATATAATTTGCTACCCTCTTTCTCTTGGCTTAATGACGGCATCAGTATTTTCCTTTTAAGTGTTCATGTGTTGTTGTCATGTTTTTGCCCCTCACAGCCAGTCATGTTTATGTTGTTCCTGCCAAGCTCTGCCTGTTCCTGTCTCTCAGGTCGTTTTCACACCAGATAGTCCGGTAGACTCGGTTTGGTTCGGGACCAATATTCATGACCTTTTGTTTACATTTAAGCTGGTGCGTTTGCACTCACACTGCACTGTGCAGTCGAGTCAACCTGTTGAACCAACCTGTTCCCCCGCTTGCCTGTGGGGGCGCTGCACCAAGAACTACTGAAAGAAACAACACAAAAACCTCTGAAGACATGTCTTCTTCTTCTTCTGTAAATAAAAATAAAAACGAAGTGGCATCGAGTTTTAGCAGTTTTAGGAGTTACATTTTGTCATTTTTCAAAAATGGACTTAGCATGAGCAGAAGATGAGACAAAAGACCATGGAGAATATTGTTTTTCCACACAAGGCAGCTGACGGCTCCATATAAGGTCAGAGAAATGTGTGTTTGTTTGTCCTGTGGAGCGGGTCCGGTCTGTTTACATTCACACTGTACTCGAACTGCGCTGGAGTTCGCTTCTACCGGACCGAGACTTAGGTTTTAGCCCGGGCCAGAGTTCGCCTTTTTGTTCCGTGACAGAGTTCGATGGCGCGTTCACACCTCCCTAAACGAACCGGACTTTCTACGAAAACGAGCTAGAGTTTGATTAAAGCGGACTAAACAGGGCTGGTGTGAATGCACCCTCACTCTCTCCCAGCAATCAAGCTCATGCTCTACACCTGTTCACCTCCCTATTTAAGCTCCCTCCAGTCACTCAGTCAGTGCCAGATTCTCGAACCTGCAAAGTAGTAGAAATCCAGCATACCCAGTCTTGACTCCTGCCTCGTTTCTGAACCATTGCCTGTTTTTGACTCCTCGCCTTTCCTGCCCCTCTTGGATTGATCTGCTTTCTGCTTTATGTCTCTTCTGCTCCACTGCTGCTGTTAATCTGCATGAGTGACGTCATCGGCACCAGCGTGACAACAGTACCTGTTACTCCATCAAGACAGAAGATCTGACCCAGGCCCGGACCCTGTACTACACCAGAACCTGTTTATCTCTTAATAAACATTTTAAACCATTCCTGTTGTTGGGTGTTGATGTGCTGATTCAAAACTAGTTCTTGTTAGTTTTATCTTATACTGTATGTATAAATGATTATCTTTTACTTTCCTGGAGAGAAGTGTATGCATGCATCTTGATGTCATGATTAATCAGGAAATATGTGATCCACCGAGTGGGTCCTATAGGAAAACTATGAACTTGCATTAATCTGAGAAGATTTACACCTGCCTTGAATTAGCAGCCCCTTCTATGTCACAAACTGGTGTGATCAAACCCATATGCAGGTTGGACTAAGAGGACTTCCAAAATAAATGATTTATTTACACAAACAAACATAAGCTGTTGGGGTAGCAGACTTGCACATGCTCTGGAGTCACTAGGAACACAGGAAACACATAGGTGACAGGATACAATGCCAAGACATTGATTAACACAGAGACACAGACTTAAATACTGATGCTGACGAGACCTTAACACAAAGACCTGCAAAGCATCATAGGTGTGGGAAGTATGGGGTGATAACAAGAGGAGCAGGTCCAAGACACACCGCCAGAGGGCACAACCCTCACATTTCAATAATTGCTTTATGATTGTACAAATTAAGCTTGTTTGCAAATTCAAGGATTATTCAAATTAACTTTCCTGCAGGTATCCTGTACAAATTCTATTTTTGTGCAAAGGATCTCTGAACATCTTTCAACATCCATATTTACCAATAATTATTATTATATTTATATCTGCCAATACATGTCATATAGGGGTGACACCCAGAGGCAGGGGACACCCTGGACAGGTTGAAAGTCCATCACAGAGCCACACAGACAGAAACGAGACAACCATTCACTCTCTCACTCACACCTAGGGACAATTAAAAGTTACCAATCAGCCTAACATGCATTTTTTTTTTTTTTTCAGTCTGTGGGAGGAAACGGAAGTACACAGAGAAAACCCACACATGCAAGGAGAGAACATACAAACTCCATCCGAGGCTGGGATTTAAACCGGTGACCTTCTTGCTGAGAGGAAACAGCTCTACCAAATGTGCCACCATGCAGCCCCAAAGATGAATCCTGATTTTAAAATGATTTTGGAATAATATTGCACTCTAGTTTTAGAAAGACTTAAATCATTATTTCCCCATCATATGTTTTTTTGTATTTTTTTCTGGTTTCATCATCAGAATGTAACATTTTGGTATAAAGATACAAATCAGCAGTCCAAAGCTAGAAGCCAGAATAGCAAAAATTTCTACAGCAACACTAAATTTTCCCGGAGAGCTGACATATGCTGGGATAAAAGTGATCCAGACTGCACAGAATATCAGCATGCTGAAGGTGATAAATTTTGCTTCATTAAAATTATCCGGCAGTTTCCGTGCCATAAAGGCAAAAATGAAACACAACATAGCAAGAAGTCCAATGTACCCAAGCACAGACCAGAAGCCTACAGCTGAGCCCAGAGCACACTCCAAGATGATTTTATCTTTAAATTCTTTAAAATTATTTGAAGGAAAAGGAGGAGAAATTGTTAACCAGAGGATACAGATGATCACTTGTACAAAAGTTAAACCCAAAACACTGAGTCTCTGTTGTGTTGGTCCAAACAGTTTCATCACATTTGCTCCTGGAAGTGTAGCTTTAAACGCCATCAAAACCACCATTGTTTTCCCCAAAACGCAGGAGATACAGAGGACGAAGGTGATGCCAAAAGCTGTGTGACGGAGCATACAGGACCACTCAGAGGGATGTCCAATGAAGGTCAGAGGGCAGAGAAAACACAAAATCAAGGAGAAAAGCAGCAGGAAGCTCAACTCAGAGTTGTTTGCTCTGACAAGAGGAGTTTTTCTGTGTCTGAAGAAAATTAAAGCTACAGCAGCAGTCAGACATGTTCCAAGTAAAGATGCTGTGGTGAGAAGTATTCCCATAACTTCTTCATATGACAGAAACTCAGCCTCTTTTGTTACACAGGCATCTCTTCTTTCATTCGACCAGGATTCAGAGGGACATTTCTCACAAATGACAGAATCTGCAAACCAATAATACAATTTAGATTAGACAGTTTTTTTGTCTTGCGTTTTATCTTTAAAATTAGCAGAGCTTATCAATTTCTCTTCAGTGGTATACTGTACTCGTATTTGGGTTGATGTCATGGAAATTTTGGTCAAATGTCATGGATGTTTTTATTATTGTGGCTAACATTCTTCCCCTAAACCCAGGGAAAAAATAGCTTGGTTGTCTCCCTAAACAGCCAAACTGCCTTCCAAAATACTCTTATCTCAAACTGAAGGATGTCTCTTAGACGCCCATGAACCATATGTCAAACAAAGAGTGCTGTGTGTACGAAGACTGCAGCTGGCTTCAAGGACACCCCCTGAACTATTGTGAACTTGACTGAACTGAGAAGGAAATACAGTATAAGGAAGCAGAAAGAGCAACTTGTGGCTCTTTTCTGTGACTGGTCTGCATGTGTATATAATTATGATCCTGATGTCATCTGCTGTGTTCTTTATGGGTGTTTTGTGTTTGCCACATCAGCTTTTTTTTTTTTTTTTTTTTACTTTACATCCTCATTTCTTGAAATTTTCTCTGGTCAAACATCTTTGGGTCCTGTTAATATACTAAATTAGACATATTGGTTCTGTAATATTGTTTTTTTTTTTTTCGTTTTGTTTTTTTGTTTTTTTCATTTGAATGCTTATCTGTTGATTTGATGTTAAGTTTGTTTTAATTTGTGAAACTATGCCAACTGTAATCAAATAACTACCCAAACAAGCTCCTTGCATCAAAACACAGTACACACTGCATCTAAACTAAATGTTCAGGACATTGTGCTGCTGTTGTGGATATGATAGTGTCACATATAGGAACCCTAGAATGTCATTTTTGCTTATTGAGGATTATTTAGTTCTGTTTGTTGGTATTAAATTTGTAATTTTTGTAGGTTAGTTGGCCTCAGCCTTTGACATGATGGGAGGAGTTGTTCCTCTGCATCATAAAGTGTCAGCTGAGGTATTTCAAATGTTCGGAAGGTTTTCCCAGCACATCAGCCTGGGAAGAAATCACAAGGCAGACCAAGACCTTGCTGGAGAGATTATATCTCCTGTCTGGTCTGGGGGTGTCTTAGGGACACCAGGATTGAGCTGGAGGATGTACTGGGGTGAGGAATGTCTGAGTTTCTCTCCAGAGGAATGTTAGCCTCAGCACATTAACCATTGATAAATCACAGAAAATGAAAGGATGCATTTTTGAATTTGTCCATCAATTTTTAAAAGTAGCTAACTTTATTCAATCAGTTGTTTTTTTTTTTTTGGTTTTTTTGGTTTGTTTTTTGTCTTGGGAAATCATGTCTGTTATATATTTACACCTCTATAGATTAAGAAAAGGTAACATTTTTGTTGTTGTTTGTGTTTTCTTGACTGTAAATCGGTGTTGTGTTTATTTATTCAGATAAACAGTATTATAATTTTTTTTTTAATATTGGATGTTTTATAAGGCACATCCTGTTTAGATATTCATTAAACATTTAAACTGATCACAGAATGTCACTTGATCTAGATCCTGCTTTTTCACTTTATTGTCACAAAGATGGCTCAAAATGGACTTTGGGGATTTAATGAAACAAGCTTAATTTCCTGGAATACAAAACTTACAATATATATTAACTGACCTGTAATATTGCTAGTTTCTCCCTCTGCACATCTTATACAGTCATAGCAGCAAACAGGTTTTCCTTTCCGGAGAACTTTCCGTGTTCCTGGAGGACACTTCTCACTGCAAACTGACACAGGAACCTGGAAAACGAAATCAAGTTCCTGTAGGTTTATTATCATTGTAACATGTGGTACATGAAGTGGGATGAAATTGTGTTCACAGGGTCCCAGTTACACCCAGCAATAGTAAAAATATAAAGTGTAAAAAGAAACAGTAAATAAATATCTAAGATATAAACTAAACAAATGCCAAACTGTACACTAAAAGATACAAGATATACACTAAACTCTAATAATGCAAAACAATACGGTGTAACAACAGCAGCCCAAACATAGAAAATGGAATAAAAAATAAAATAACAAATATAAAAAAATAAAAATAAATAGAATCAACACTGACGTCTGCCGGACTCTTTGCAAAAATTACCACAATAACAACTGAATTACCAAATAGCATGAAAAAAAATAAATAAATAATAATATTTACAATTTATATTACCTGCTTTGAATTATGTGCCCACATGAAAGCCTTATTTTGCAGATTTAGCTGTTCGTCTTCAGGTAATGATACATCATACAGACCCACAGAGACAAAGTCCACATAACCATTCTCTCTTGGCTGCCAGTTTATAATCTCATATTTTGCTGATGGATCTCCTTTTTCATTAAAGTAAACCTCCTCTCCTTCTTTTGTCCTAAAGTGAATTTTGCTAATGTGCTGCAAGATCTGTAACAGTAGGGAGTTACCTTTTTTTTTTTTAATTAAGATTATGAACACACAGTATTAAAATTATGCAGTTTGCAAATGTCCTTTTTTGACACTTTAAAACTATAAAATTTTGTTTAATGTTAGATGTTGAATGCAAATAGTGTTATCAATGTTTTCAAACTCACTGTGAATGGATCAAGCTGCACACTACTGTTACACGTTTTATTACAGCTTAGAATCTTGTGCAGAGCATGGGCCACTGAATACACTCCTTTGTAAATATTGTTAAAAATGGGCATGAGAGACATGTCAGTGAAGCTGTTTTCCACTCCAGTCAGATCCTCATGTCCAGTACAATCTATCTGAATCTCTTCTGATTGTGACTGCTTGAAATTGCAGCTGAATAATGCCTCCCAGAATTTTATAAATAAATCATTAAATGATGAGTTAAGTGGCTTCACATCCAGCATGAATTCTTTCAAACCACTGACATTTGCTCTTGGAATAGAAAGTCCTATAGCTCCATCCAGGATGTGATTCTTATCCATTGCTACAATTTGGGCATCAAAGATCCACGACTCACTGCCGACCCACTGATACCCTGTCAGGTTGTGATTAGATAGCTCATGTAAAAGCATCTCCATGTCCGGAGGGGAAAGAAAAGCAATAATGACCTTAGAAGTTGAAGCCTTGATAATGTCAATGATCTTTTTTAGTTTTTCAGATGAATCTGTTCTAAAAAAAGAAACAGAATATTCCAGACATATTCCCAGCTGCTCTGCAGTTTCTGTAAATGTTGCCATGCCATTGTTGCCATAGTCATCATTGGTTCTAACAGCTCCAACCCAGGTCCAACCAAAGTGTTTGACCAACTGCACCAGAGCTCTGCTCTGATAGTAATCACTGGGTACTGTTCTAAGAAAGGATGGGTACTTTGATTTATCACTGAGACAAGCACATGTGGCAAAATGGCTGATCTGAAAGAATAATAGCATGTACAGTACATACATTTGTAAATAAAATTGTTTAAACTGTATTTTTTTATAAACATGTTAAATAGAAAGCACTGACAAAGCCATGCCTGGTTTGATTAAGTAAAATATTTCAGTTAGTTTAGCGTAAGCACAATTTAAATTCAACCCCATTTTACTCACAAGTGGGATGTGAAATGGTCCCAGAACAGTAGCTATTGCTGTGCTGGAGGAGGAAGAGTTTTCTCCCAATATGGCCTGCAATTTTACTGGTCTGGTACATGGCTCCTCTGACGTTAAAGACACATTGTCAATATCTTTGTTTAATGCAAGTGCAACTTTTAAGCTTTGGATAACAGATCCACATGTATCATAAATATTATATCCTAGAGAAATGCCTGGAAGTAGGTCTGTGCTGTTGTTAATTTCCTCAATGGCGAAACGCATGGCTTGAGCAAACTGGAAGTCTCTGAAACTCAAACTTAATGTAGAAAAATGTAAAAATATTGTAATATAAACTGCATGACAACAATCCATTACATTTGCAGCATTACCTCACAAAACAAGGAAAGTTAAAAGATGTATTTCTACATTATACTTTACCTGATACATTCTAGTGGCAGAGGTTTTTCAGTGTAATTATTCAGTTTGTTTTTCCAGCTGAGGTGAAAATAGAAGATTCCTCCCAACATAATGTCTCCTTTCTTGGACAGCTGAGGGATCTCAGGATCTCCTCTCTGTCTGCACAATGTCTCCACAGACTGTGGAAAAAACATCAACAACAGCAGCAGTAAAGGTACACAAGCCTGGTCTACCCTCCTTTGTGTAGGCATTATGTTATTTGAATGAGCAAAATCACATGGCTGCATCTCATGGACACCATTGCAAAATAAAATAAAACTTGAACTGATGTTGACAGATGTACAGTCAGCTTTTATAGTGTCTCTGTGGAAATTTCAGATGAAGCAGGAGGAGGCGCATGTAGATAGACTGTTTTTTTTAAGTATTGTTTTTGTGTAAGAAATATGGCAAGACTATTTGCTCATGCAGTAACATACTAAAACACTCATGCATCATATATACCAACAGTAACAAAGCTTCTTGAAGCCCACCCTGTTAAGGGGGTCTAGAAGGAGACATCTCAAGTTGGCAATGTTGAGAATGTTAAGTCCAACCACTAGATCCAACTCCTATCTATGAGCTTAAGCTACTTTTGTCACTGACCTAGCCAAAGGATACCAGTTGGTCATGTCCCCACTGGGTTACATTCCATTCATTATTGGTCTTCATTAAAGTATCAGTAGCTACTCCTTTCTGACTCCAGACATTGGGGTTTTCATGCAGGTGCCTTTTTGTCTGTTCTCAGATCTGCTTTTAAGGTTTTGAGCTCTTCTGTCCTCTACATCAAAAGGTCCCTTATAGCTTGGCTTTCTGTACTTTTTCTTCTATCTGGACAGCCCCCTGAATAATGCCTCCTTTCGTATGCAAAGGACACTGAACCCACCTGCATGTATTGTCTTGTCTGCCGGCTTGTTTTCTAGTCGTTCACCTGAACTGTTGTTGTTTTTCTGTCTGTCCCCTGTTCTACTTTTTTTTACTGTTTACAACTTGTCTCTCATTTGAATTGTCCCTTCCGTTTCCCTACTTTATGATATACTTTTTTTTTTGCTTTTGGAATATTGGTTGTTGTCCCTTAGAGGGAGACCTAGCTGATTGTCTCAGTCCTTGTTCTTGTCCCTGTCCTTCACATTTTTATCTGTGCAGTTCATTTTTTTATCATCCATCCATCCATCCATCAGCCATCCTTCCCTTCATCCAACCATCTGAAACACGCACAGGAAACGGTGGGTGCTAACTGGAGATTTTAGAGACTTTGGGCCAATGACTTGGTTCCAACAACAGAATACCATTCAGGTTCACATCAGAGAGACCCTTCCTCCTAATCATGCCACTCCAGGTCACATAGTCATTACCCATCTGGGCATTGAAGTCCCCCAGCAGAATAAAGGAGTCCCCAGCTAGTGTACCTTCCAGCAACCCCATTTACGACTCCGAGAAGGCTGGATACTCTGAACTGCCATTTGGTGCATAAGCACAAATAACTGTCAGAGCTCATCCCCCTACCCAGAGGCACAGGGAAGATACCCTCTTATCTACCGAGGAAAACTCCAACACACAGGCAACTAGTCAAGGGGCTAAATGTCGACCCACACCAGCTCGGCACCTCTCACCATTTGCAATCTCAGAGTGGAATAAGGTCCAACCCCTCTCAAGGAGACTGGTTCTGGAGCCCATGCTGTGCCCCCAAGAGTATAGCTCCTAGGATCATGCAGGCACACAAAGTCCTCCACCACAATAAGGTGACAATTCAGAGTAGAAGAAAGGAGCCAGTTGATGTGGTTCAGGCATCTGGTAAGGATGCTTCCTAGGTGACTCCCTAGGGAGGTGCTTTGGGCATGTCTGACTGGGATGAGATAATGGGGAAGACCCAGGACACACTGGCGAGACTATGTCTTTTGGTTAGCCTGGGAACACCTTGGAGTTCTCGCAGAAAAGATGGAAATGGTGTCTGTGGAACGAGATGTCTGGGCGTCCCTGTTTAAGCTGCTGCCCCACGACCTGACTTCAGAATAAGCAGAAGCTGATGGATAGATGGATGGATGGATGGATGGATGGATGGATGGATGGATGGATGGATGGATGGATGGATGGTTGGATGGATGGATGGATGGATGGATGGATGGATGGATGGATGGATGGATGGATGGATAGACTAGGTTCATATAGGAGAGTTAAAGCTAAGGGGTGGGATGAAAAGACAATCGCATAAAGACTGTAATAGTTTTTTTTTGGCCCTTTTCCATTAGTAACAGTACAGCACGGTTCGACTCGACTTGGCACGGTTCCAAGGCTTTTCCACTAGCAACAGTTCGTAGAACCGGTCCCTTTTTCAGTCATTTTTTCTCTGGGGTTCCAACCGTACCAAACTGAGATGAAAACGTGACTTCAGAACACTACTGGTGACTGATTTGTCAGGGGGTGGGGTCACTGGTTGTTTGAGAAACTTTTACAACAACCTGATCCACCATTTGCACAACTCAAACTCAAGGAGTGACTGGACCTTTTTTTAAGATTTTAAAAACAATAATGACAACACCGTGGTCTAATGCTGAAGTACAGGCATTTTTTTCTGCTTGGTAGCCAATGTCAAAATTCAGAGTGAGCTTGATGGAGCTCCACCGGTACCCCAGGTCCTCCCCACTGGAGACTTGGAGCCCCCTCAGACTGGGCAGGGTGTCATCTCCCTAGCTCCAAGCTCCGCCAATCCTAGCAGAAGATCCTCCGTGCTGCCGACCCACAGAAGCGTTCGAGGCCAGGGCCTGCCTGAACCCCGAGCCCCAGCAGACAGGGGCGGACTGGGACAGGTCTGGGACAGAGGGTGGAAATGATTTTTAAAAACATTTTATGTATAAAAAATAACTGTTTTTATTTATTTATTTATTTATTTATTATCATTGAAGATAAAAAAAATAAATAAAAAAGAATAAACAGTGCTGGCTTTATCATGAAATCCTGTTTTCACTTTAATGATTTTATTAAATAATCTGTTAAAGTTAACTCTGCTGAAAAATCATAAGAAGACACAAAATTTTGAATATTATTGAATATTTCAGGAATATTCCCTCAAATATGTTTAAAGCAAAGCTATATAGCCATTAGTTCAACTTTATTCTAACCCACAGATGTACAAATTATAAAAGCAAAGCTAAAATAAAATTAATCTGTATACAAGAAACAAAACCACATATCTAAATTGAGCAATACAAGTAGACACAATGAGTGCAAATAGATCAAATGAAGAAGAAAACCTATGAAATTTTAAATATAGATGTTTTAGTAGAATCTGGTTCATCAGACATTTAATGGTGAACTAAAGTTCATTAAAAGGTAATTAGCAGGATTTACACACACACACACACACACACACACACACACACACACACACACACA